TACCATGGAAACCAAAAATGTATATAACCTGGGAACAAAGACAGGTCCACGCTCACTTCCCGGACTTGCAAGTCGGGATGAGAGGTGACCGGTCTAAATTAAAAACTTTGTCTGTTCTCTTTGGTCTCTTGTGGAATACAGCCCGAATTTTTGCCGTAACACTGACAGTAATTATTTTCCTAAAGTCCATGTTTTCTGATGTTAAGTAGCAGCTTCATATTTATTATTTGCACATTTCTTTTCATCTTTTACGTTTAACTTAAATCTGTCTTTATATTTAGTGCGTTTCTTCTGGACAGCATGTAGTCAAGTTTTGCTATTTTGTATAGTCTTTAGTCTCTGCTTACAAATGGAGTGATTGCACTCTTTGCTCTTAATGCAAATATTGATATACTTGGTTTCAATCCATTTATCTTGCTACTTTTTCTATTTGTTTTTCTATATATTTCATCTAATCATTTCTCTTTTTTCTTGCTTTATTTGGAGTACATTGAGTATGAATCTTCCTTTTTTTTCTGTCTTCTTGAGACAGTCTCACTATGCAGTTCAGGCTGGCTTTGAGCTCACTTTGTACCCCAGGCTGGTCTCGAAATCACAATGATCCTCCTGCCTCAGCCTCCCGAGTGCTGGGATTACAGGCATGGACCACCATGCCCAGCCTGACTCATATTTCTTGATTGTTAGTTGTATTTTCCTGTTTCTTTGTATGTTTAGTAACATTTGATTGATGAAAATTGAATGTTTTTGTTATGAATGTTGTTGAGTGTGGATTTTGTTATCTTCCTTTGAAGACTGTTGAGCTTTTTTCTGTTGACAGGTAAATTACTTTTTTTTTATCAGCTTGATCTTCCTTCTGTATAGTTAAAGTGGTCCTTAACCTTAGGCTAACTTATCAACTAGTACTTTACCCTCTTAGTGTTTCTCCGGAATGCTTCAGTATGTGTGTTTATCTAATCCAGTGTGAAATGTTGTTTTTTAGGTTTTTAACTCTGCAGATATTTTTTTTTGTGTATATTACTTATGCACATCTTAGTTTATTACTTAACTTTCCCATTGTTGGACAATACTCAACACCCATAACTGAAAGCAAGATAGGTTTAATTTTGGCTAATGTTTTAAGAAGATTCAGTCTATGGTCAGTTGGTTCCAAGGGAGAAACATGGCCAAAGGCTGCTCAGTTCATGGCAGTCCGGAAACAGAGCCAGGGAACTGTGCCAGGGAGGAAGAGGCCTGGGATCAGACATTAACCTGAAGGCCATATCTCTATGACCTACCCAGATACTCCCCAGGGTATGCTCCACCAATCCTGGGAGCAGATCCCGAAGCTGATCAAGTTGACCCTGCACCCTACTCATCACACTTAGCTTCTGCAAAAATTTAAGGGCTTTCTATTTTGATTTATGGAACTCTTTTTCACTAAGTTCCTCTCTGTGACTTAGTACTATGACTTTCAGCCACTCCAGTCTCCATGCACTTCTGACCACACTATGCCTTGGATCCAGAACCTGCCTTTTTCCTTTTTTTTTTTTTTTTTTTTTTTTTGAGACAGGGTCTTACTGTGTAGTTCAGACTGGTCTTGAGTTCACTTTGTCGCCCAGGCTGGCTTTGAACTTGTGATGATCTTCCTGCCTCAGCCTTTGGAGTGTTGGTGTTATAGGCATGTGCCACCATGACTGGCTAGAATTCGAGTCTTGACAGCTGGTCAATGATACATTTAGATTTATAATCTATTTTGAATTAATTTTTGTGTATGTAATAGACGTCAGTACTTATTGTCTCACTGTCTCTGTGTCTATCTCTCTGCCTTTTTATGATACTAAAGATTGAACCAGGGCCTCGCACTTGGTAAGCAAGCACTCTGCCATTGAGCTACATCCCCACCCTTATTATTTCTACACAGATGTCCATCTTTTTCAGTACCATTTGTTGAAAAGACTCTCTTTTCCCCATCAAATTATGTTGCTATTAAAAATACGTATGTGACTATTTTTGGACTCTGTTTTTATACAGGTGCTAAACTGTAACTTATGAATTATGAAAGGTGCAATAGCTGATTCTGACACGATATAAATATTTCACTTGATTTGATAATCTATGTTTAGAAAATGAATTTAAAATACAATTTCAGAGCCAGGGATATAGCTCAGTGGCCCAAGCACCTGCCTGGCAAGCACAAGGTCCTGAGTTTGATTCCTGGTACCAAAAAAAATAGTTTCTACTATTATTGATACGATGTTATGCTCTTTCATCCAACAATTGAGTGAAGAGATTTCCTTCAAATGTATTTATCTTACAGAGACCTTTTAATAAAAGTGAAGTTTGGCGAAAGCATTGAGGACTTACAGACCTGCCGACTGTTAATTAAGCAGTCCATCCCTGCAGGCCTTTTTGTGGATCCATATGAGTTGGCTTCAATGCAAGAGAAAAACATAACAGAGGTATAGCTATTTTTGGGGGTGGGGAGAGAAATTCATCTAGGCATGCCATAATTTCAATTAAGGCAAAATAGTTGTAAGATGATATAGTATTTTTTAAAGTTTGTTGCCCAGCATGGTGGTACACACTTGTAATCCCAGCACTCCGGAGGCAGAGGGAGGAGGATTGCCATGAGTTTGAG